TTTGTGAACAACTTCTGGTGCAGTGTCTTAAGTACCTGTAAATTGAACTTCTATATCGGCAAAAAAAAATATATTGCTTTGACTTTTGAGAGCCAAGCTTATCATCAAATCTGGCACTGATAGACTCTTCCATAATCCAGGTTTTTGTGTTATATACTCTATAACCTTTTGAACATTCATAGTATCCTAACATGAGACACTTTTGCTCTTTAGATTCAAACTTGTTCAAATGTTCTTTAGTGTTTAGAATGAAACAAGTACATCTGAATGGATGAAAATAAGAAATGTTGGCCTTTTTGTTCTTCCACAGTTCATATGGAGTCTTATCCAGAATAGGTCTTATGGAGATTCTATTCTGAATATAACACATTGTGTTAATTGCTTATGCCCAGAAGTTCTTAGCAATGTTAGTCTCGTTGATTATGGTTCTGGCCATTTCTTGTAAAGTTCTATTCTTTCATTCTACAACTATGTTTTGTTGAGGAGTTCTAGGATAAGACAAATCATGAGAGATGCCATTCTCATTAAAAAATAATTCAAATTTTTTGTTTTCAAATTCCCCACCATGATCACTTCTGACTTTAACAATTCTAAGATATTTTTCATTTTGGACTTGGTTACAGAAAGCAAAGAACATAGAATGTGACTCGTCCTTGTGTTTTAAGAATTTTACCCATGTCCATTTGCTATAGTCATATACGATCACTAATCCATACTTCTTAACACTAATGGATGCATTTTTCACTGGTCCAAATAGATCTATATGCTGAAGTTCTAATGGTCTAGAGGTAGAAACAACATTTTTATTTTGAAAGAAGGTTTTGCAAACTTGTCTTTTTGACATGCTTCACACAGAGCATCTGAGCTGAACTTCAGGTTAGGAAGTCCTTTGACCAGATTGAGTTTATTAATCTGAGATATCCTTCTCATACTAACATGCCCTAATCTTCTGTTCCAGACCCATTGCTCATCGCTAACAGACAATAGGCATTTTACATTCTGACTTTTTAGATCAGAAAGTTTTATTTTGTAAATGTTGTTCTTTCTCTTTCCATTAAAGATGACAGATCCATCTTTCTGACTAACTGCTTTACAGGACTTCTGATTGAAGATTATATTATAATCGTTATCACATAATTGACTTATGGATAACAAGTTATGCATTAATCCATCTACTAACAGAACATTAGTTATAGAAGGAAGTGTACCGTTACCAATAGTTCCAGAGCCAATAATATTTCCTTTCAGATTGCCTCTGAAACCTACATAGCCTCCAGATTTAAGCTCTAGGCTTTAGAACATATGCTTTCTTCCCGTCATGTATCGTGAGCATCCAGATTCCAGGTACCAAGATTGATGTTTCAATGTTATTGTTAAAGATATCTGCAACATAGACAATTGTATCCTTAGGTACCCATATCTTTTTGGGTCCTTGTTTGTTAAAGTTACCAAAATTCTATTTTAATTTTGGTTTAGCAGAAAAAGCATTACTAGTATACTTTATGTCATGTGTGTGCCCATAGATGAAGTGAGAATAAAGAGGTGTGTGTTTTATGACCATATCCTTAAATTTCTTAGGTTGAGATACTTTACCCTTGTATCCTATTCCTTTTCTACCATTTATACTAACTACATAGATCATTGAATCCATCTTGCTTCTATCTATGTTTTTAGCAAGAAATTTTTGAAAGCTATGATCATATTCCTTTATGATCTTATCAAAGTTACTAGGAACTTCTAAGGCAGTTTCTTTCTGAGCCTTTTGTAATTTATTTTCTAGTTTAGAAATTGTTTCTTTAATCTCAGAGTTTTCTGATCTCAGTTTCTTAGTTTCTTCAGAGTCAGAAACTAGATCCTTTTTCAGGTTCTTGTTTATGACTCGAAGTTGCTGATATCTTTCAAGAATTTATGACAAACTTTCTTCTAATTGAGATCTAGAAAAGTTAGAGAATACCTCTTCTGCCTCTAAGTCTAATTTTGATCCAGGTGATCTAGTGTCATCTGATACATTGGCCATTAGGGCTATGTTGGCTCTTTCATCTTCTGATTCTGTTTCAATTTCAGAAGAGTCTGAGTCATCCCATGTTGCCATGAGGCTTTTCTTCTTTTCCTTAAAGAACTTATTTTTAGGTTTCTCTTTTTGAAGATTTGGACATTCGCTCTTGTAATTCCCTTGTTCATTGCATTCGTAGCAGACAATGACTCTGTTACTTGATTTTCTGTATCTAGAAGATGGTTCAGAATGATTTCCAATTCTTCTGGAAGTTCTGAACTTCCTCTGCCTGTGCTTCAACAGCTGATTAACTCTTCTGGAGAGAAGAGACTGTTCGTCTTCTTCTTATAAGGATCCACCAGAGTTTTCTTCTTTTGCCTGCAAAACTTTTGGTTCATATTTTTTGTTAGATTTAAGCGCTAAAGACTTACCTTGCTTCTGGGGCTCATCTTCTTCTAACTATATCTCATGACTTCTCAGGGAACTGACAAGTTCTTCGAGAGAGATTTTGTTCATATCTTTGGTCAGTTTAAGAGTTGTGACCATGGGTCTCCATTTCTTGGGTAAACTTCTGATGAGTTTATTTACATGATCTGCAGTTGAGTACCCTTTATCTAGAACTTTTAGCCTAGAAACCAGAATTTTAAATCGTGATGCATGCACGAGTACTTTTTGGCCGTTTGGATCGTTGTAAACAGTCTTATCTTACCTTAAGATCTTCTTGGGGTTGATTGGGATGGCTACTTTGTAGTGAAAGAGACTATGAATAGGGTTTCAATTTGTTTTAGGGTTCTTGAAAATTTGAGATTTTTGAAAAGTTTTTAGTGTAAGGGTTCGTGTCCTTGCTTGTATGAATAATGGAGATTATATAGCATGAATTAGGTCAAAGAAAAAATGGGCTTGGAATTTGTGTAAGAAGCCTTGTATTTTATCTTATTTATTTTTGAATTAATAATTAATAAATCAAAAATAATTAAAATAAAATAGACCAAGGGGTACAGGAAAAACATTTGAGGTGTATAAGGAGTGTAATACACACTTGGATTCTTAAACAATGGCCCAATAGTCCAAAATACCAAATTTGCTAAATTTGAACTTCATGCACTTGCTCAAAATTTCCCAACTTGCACTAGTCATAACTCTCTCAATTTTCATCATTTGAAGGTGATCTTTAACTTTTTGGAAATATCAAGATGTCCTATACAATCTTTATATTGACCATTTTGGCATTTGAATACTTTATCTTGATATAAGTTGCCTTGACAAAAAGTGTCTTTTTGTTGACTTTTGAAATAACCTGTAATGTTTTGGCTTATATCTCTCAAATGAAGCATTTTTTGGACTTGAGCTTAGAGAGACAAAGTTGCAGAGAATTGAATTTCCTTAAAAATTAGCTTTGGTTGGGGAAGATCTGATGTGAAAGTTATGCTTGGTCAAAGTTCAGTTGACTTCTCCTAAGGAAAACCCTAATTTGGCAACTTTTGATTTTTTATGGTTTGAGAGTTTTCCTTGATGAATCATGATCAAACCTTGGTAAAATGATGAATATGACTTCAAAATCTTGATGTTGATCAAAAATCTTAGAGTTTGACTGTATGTTGACCACAATTGACTTTTTACCCAATATAGTTGATTTTTAGTCATTTGAGCAATTGACTGAGCAAACTTGTGATGCAAGGCCTGAAACATGGTATGAGCATTCTTGGAGACCTATAAGAAACCATGAAAACCACTTGAGATCTTAGAAACCCAATCTTCCTCGAGAAAAGTGAAACCCTAGTTGTAAGTCCATTGCTTAGAAGGAGAATTTGTCTGATCAATTCTTGAGCAACCTTGAACTTCTGAGAACCCTAGGAGAATGTCTTGAAGAAAAATGGAGGGAAAAGTTTTAGGTACAAAAAATATATACTTGCAAAAAACTGTGAATGATAAAAATTGAAAGTAACATGTACCATTTCTTTTTTCAATTTTTTTATCATTCACCACTTCTTTTGGGTGCTGCAATATTTGTATTGTGTAACAACAATATTGCTTGAAATCTACATAATGTTTCGCAATAAATTTCTTAATATAGTCAATCAAGTAAAACAATAAATTATGGATTGTTTTCTTTTATTGACAACATAAGAAGTCCAAAATATAACAATGGTCTTGGAAGAAGTGGAAACAACAACAATAAAAAATCATTATGTGAGATAGATTACAAGAGGAAAAAAAATATTTTGTTCAAGGTTGGTATTAAAAGAACAACATACAACACAAAACCTTGATGATTTTTTCTATCTTACAATCTATCTCAAAGAATGATGTGTACGAATTTGAAGCGGTTATCGATGAGTTAGGTTTATGGTGAAAATTAATTTACGAGTGCTTTTATAGTAAATTTTGATTTTCTAACCCCTCAGTCATAAAAAAACGGAGGAATAAATCATTTAATTTAAAAATATAAAATAAAATAAAAAGAAAGGTTCCACTTTTTAAAAAAATAAAAACAGAAACTGCATTTGTTGAGATTCGAAGTATGTCCTGAATTAGTTTTCCTCTCGATTATTTTAGAAAACTAAGGGAATAAATGATATTTTAAAAATAAAATACGATGCGTCCTCAAATTATACCTCAATTTTTTGTTGTCCAAAGTGAAAGCTTTGTCATGAAATGTATTATTTATAGTAATGCATCAATATAATAAAATATATTCAACAAAATTAACCCCCTTTCATCCTACTCTAAATCAACACTTCACCTAATTTTTTGTTATGTTATTCTTTTGTTTGACTTGAAAAGGTATGTTATATATATATATATATATATATATATATATATATATATATATATATATATATATATATATATATATATATATATATATATATATATATATATATATATATATATATATATATATATATATATATATATATATATATATATGTTTGATCCTATTATAGATAAATAATAAATTTCTTACATATTTAGAAGTAGTAAATAATTACACTTACAATAATTATTACGAAGTTGGAGATACAGGAAAAACTGAAGCAAACGAAATAGACATCTCTGGAAAATTTCTACACAAAGGGCAAGTAGCATTTGTTTTGAGCCACCCATCTATACAATTAGCATGAAAATAGTGATTACACTCAGGAATAGTCATCAATACTTCATTGGGTTGATACTCACAAAGGCATATAGAGCATATATTATCATTAGGCCTAGGCAATCGTCCACTTACACCAAGCTGAGTTTTAGGATATCTTTCAATTGTTGCCCTATCAAGACCCATAACAACAATTGGGGAGTGAGGCGTAACCATAGTTGAAAATTCAGTTCCTATTTGATGTTGTTGTTGTGTTTGATTACTTGTATTCTTATTGTTCCATAGCATCCATGTAAGTATAATAATACCTAGCAGTGTAGGTATTGCCAGACCCATGCTTAAACCATACTTCAATTTCTTTGATAGACCTACATCTATATACCCCAAAATAAAAAAGAAAAAGAAACAAATAAGAAGTTGTTATGTAAGTAGGATTCATAAGACTAACAGTGCAGATTTCGAAGTCAATAGTTCCATTTTATTGTGTAAAAAATAG